TTCATACAAATACGTTCTCAAACAAACAGAAATTGACATTTAATTGAATCTTGATCGTTCTCATCTGAACTCATTGTTATCGAGTACTAACTCCACTTCACAACTGACGTAATTTATTGCTGTTATACCCATTGTAATTCATAATTGATGTTCCGATATACATGAGAGGTAAGTAGTAGAACATAAAATTTACATTGTATGTAAGTGTCTTAAGCGAAAGCTTCCCACTTAAAAGCTCTACAAATGCACTGAAAGCTCTTTCGCGCACTAATCCCAAACCTTTTAGCTGCAATCAAAAGCCCCGAGCGCTCGGCGCGGGGCGAGGCGATGTGATGCTTGTGGAAGCGCCTAGGAATTTAATTTACATTTTTAATTAAGTTAAATTTTGTTCGAAAAGCTTTCACGGAATAGGAGTTTTCTTGATTAGAGTTCAGCTTTGCCTGAAGTTTGAGATTGATTAGTGGAGGTTTAATTGCTCTCTGCCGGTGAATAATGAATTCGATCAGTGCGGAGTCAGAAGGGAGTGTCTAACAGATTACTTCAACATTTAATAGATCAAATTATACTACTTACTTTTGTTAACTCTATTTAATAACAGCTGTATACATAACGTATAATAATTAAAATGTTATTTAATTATTTTTTTTATTTGATATAAATCTAATAAAATACGGCTATGTCCACTTTGTGCTCCACTCCGACCCTGACGGCGGCTGACGTAATTGATGACTGAGAAGTGAAACGTAATGTTGTATAATTGATCGCGTTGATAAGCCAGTCATAATGCAGATACTGTTGATAGTCCCTACTCCATACCGTTCTCCCCACCTCGATAATGCTTGAAATGCCCAAATGGCCTGAATGCGCGATCCCCAAATTACTGAAAATGCCTTTAATGGATTTCACTTCTCCCCAGTTAGTGTAAATGTATTGAGATAGGTACTTCTGTATTTGTGAGCGTGAGTGAACTTAGTGCCATGTGGTTACTATAAGTGATTCAATTAAAAATGCAATTTTCATATAACAAAATTTAAGAATCTGTACCATTGACAGGGCTTTCAATTTAATTTAAGATTGCGGTGAGCAATCAAAATTTCTTTTGTGTTATAAAGAACCCTAATGGACGCTTATAAATCGGAAAGGGCACAAAAGAGCCGTGTTATAGCTGACGTAAAAGGGAATAAATAAGAGACTTCCGCGAAGCACTTTCGACGAGAACAAGTCGAGAGCCAGTGACGTACTGTTTGACATAGAATATTTTATCCAGAGCTGAGTTTCTCCCATCAATTCCACTTATCCCAACACTCTGTTGAATTTTTGACAAGTCAGTGAAGAAAACTGCTTTTTCTGTCGGTGGTTTAGTGCGACAGATCCCTTTAAATTCGCATTATACAATGGGGTGGAATCTAAAGAGAGACAACAAAATTTTCTTAGTGGGCAAGTCAGCATTGTATGTTAAGGCATGTCACGTTATATATATAGTTTCTTATTTCAGTAAGCTGACATGACAAATAGCATTGTCAGAACATTTTTTTCTCTTATCAGCTTTAAAAGAGAGATGAACTTAATATTATTTTATGAAACATTTTTGGCTCTATCATAAATGTAATGTTCAAAATACGAGTATATTATCTAGCTCTTGTGTTCAGCTCAGTCTGCCGAAAGTACTGGCGACGGCGCAGCTGGTCGCCGTGCCCGCTAATCGGACCGAATCCGGCGCAATCCATATTAGATTTGCCCGCTCTCTCATATCCATTCTGAGATGTTCATATTTTATTGGGGCCAATAAAACGGATTCATGAATATGAGAAATGCATAACGAATACCGTATTTATGGATGGAGGCGCGCTCGCCTCGCCGCGGATATGTCGCGGGTAATTTGATAGCCGCCTTTGTAACAGGTGCTGATGGGAATTTCGATGCGGTTATAAATTTTTTTTCATTCCACTTGAGTTTGATAGCGTATTCTGTTTTTATTTTATATGTCTTTTTATTTCGACGTTGGGCGATGTACCTAAATATTTTATGAATCGAAACTGTTATGATGTCTATCGTAACAAATATCTGCTTATCATTTGTAAATACTTTGATGTATCTTTAGGAGTGTCTTTTAATATTATATTTAAATTTAAATAACTATTTGGCGCATCTTTCTTGTTATCCCAGTAAAATCACTTTGTAATGAATTGATTTGTATGTTAATACTTTTTTACTGTTTACTATTGTCATTGCTTGTTGTATTCTCTATGTCTCGGGTTTGTGAATGTGAATGGAATTAAAGTTAATCGAATACATTTTTAAATATATATTTAATAATACATGTAAAGTTATTTAAAAAATAGGAACTTATATGGTCTATAAATACTGCATTATACCGTGTGAAAGTATTCGTGTAAGTAACAGATAATAATAATATTGCGTTGCAATATTATTAAGTGTCCTTTTTGTCATTATTATTTACGCGATTAATCTTTGTGTAATAACCTAGATATACTGTATATTGTAACTACCGAATAAAATCAGGTACTTCCGATTTAGAACGTTCGTTTAATTGTATTTATGGTGTTCGTTCTCTACCTTAATTTATGTTTGTTGCGACAATTGTCTATTATTATTGTTATACAAGTACTTCGTTAAGACAAACGTAATCTTCAAGTCAATTTTAAGCAGTGGACAACATAGGACTAAAATTATTATAATAAACATAGTATAACTTAATAAATAATCTTACTTATACACATAAATAGCATATGTGTTACCAATGAGTTATAATTATGTATTGTTTGAAACTTGTTCACAACTAGTTCGTTCCGATCCTGTCCTTGGCTGCTTTTGTACCGCCTTTTTAACCACGATATTTTGCTCCACTACTTCCGAAATACTAGAATTGATAACAGAACTAATATTCTTATTAAGTCTGTTTTTAATTAGAATATTAGCTGTGTTATCACGTGACAATATATAGGGATATTTGATATGACTAAAGGAATCTACTATTAATTTTATTGACTACTAGCTGTATACGCGATTATATCTATAGAACCCTATTGTTACTATTAATATATTAGCTTAAAAATGGGCATAATATCATTAGATACTTTTATCTATTTAAAATGTCATTGTTTCTTTTATTTCTGTACATATAATGGTACGTTACGTATGTTACGGTAACCTGTGCCTAATATGTATGTACATGAAGAGCAGTCATGACATCATAATGTGATGCCCTCAGTACCATTGGGAGAACTAAGACGTTATGCGTCCGTTTATTTTCTCTGTAATATATCACCAACTAAAATGCATAAAGAAACTCAGAAAGAACATAGAGGGGCACCTCTGTCACACGCAGACGATTGTGTACAGTGTACCTAATACAATAACAATAGTGCAAATATGTCGTTTGTTATTGTTATTAGTAAGATGCATAATGAGTTGTTCGTAAAATAGATATTTTGTTTAGAATGTGTAAACATTACAAATATTTCTAAAATAAATCCAAGAAACTCCATTTAAATATTCAATGGGCCTTAATAGACAGTTGTTAGCTGTGCAGCAGTAACCAAACGGATCTCCGTTTATGGGCCGTATTAAGGATGCCAGAATGGAGAGCAACCATGTCAATTGCCTTGCGCCATTTTGTACTTATACGTTACAAAAACTTTTATGGTTATATAGGTATACTCAATATATTTGTACTGACATAAATATATTGATTATTTTCACTGTTGAGATGATACGAATAATAAGAAACGATACATCTTTACAGCACTATCTCTCCACCATCCCTTCTTTAAAAAGTGTAAGAAACAATTTTTTTATGTCAGTAAAATACAAAGAAGCAGACTTGATTGTAAATGATAAATGTCGTCTACATAGATGAACAGCACTGTGTCTATGATATTTACTACTCTTGAGTTGCAATTCTAGAGGACTAAGATTTTAACCGTCTTATCCTGTAATTTATCTACCTTATCTCACTCTATATCGAAATACATCATATGAAGCAGGTTGTTTAGCAACTGAAATATGTAGGTTAGACTATGGTACTCACGCAGACAACTTTTATAAGGGATACCTCTAAAAATCACTATCCTTTTTTTACTTATTATCGTCAACGCTTAAATCTATTACGGAACAAATAGAAGAAAGTACGTATCACAAATATATTTTGTCACCTTACATAGGTACTACTACTCTTGTTTTTTTCTACTTTCATAACAAAATAAAATAAACGTCTAAAAGTAAATTAATTAAAATATGAATAATGTCGGAATAAATAAAACACAAGACGAATAGTTAAATCAACCCACAAGAGTTATTAATGCCTCCCTCAAGTTTCAATTTACAGCTTTGCATGGACGTCTCAACCTTCAAGGGATACCGATAATAGTGTGTTTGTTATTCACATTACATTTAATATTAGACTCTAAGACGTGTTTGTAAGGCAGATAATTCTTAAATTGGGCTTTGATATAATACATGTGAAGAAAAAGGGACCTTACGGTTGGTTGGTAGAGTTCAAATTGAACTATAATTCTCTAACTGGCTGTTGCCGTTTGACGGCAGTTTGTCGGAGTAATAAGGTCTCGCGCGGAGTGGACGTAAGGAGAGGATATCGTTTATTCTAATGAGGTTTCGCTACGAGAAGCGTACTACTGCTCGGGTCCGTCGCCCTGGTGTATTGCCTTAGCAAGAATTCCTCACAATAAAGATCTTTAAAATCTAAATTTGTATCATAGTTGTAAAGATTTGGTCCCACTTTATTGCTTTGCGAGACTTAGATTATATTATAGTAGGTATTTAGATATTCAGCATAAGCATATAGAGTTTTATGCGTTGAATATTAAAATTTTATAAAATTATAATTCTATGCAAGTTTCTGTCGTGTTCAAGTGAGTTGTCTGAAATAATGATTAAGCGGTTCTACCGGATTTGGATGACTATAGCATATATAGTAGATCGGTATTATATTTTACAATTTCAGTCTTGTATTGTTTCAGATAAATGAGTGTTGTGATGCGTGTGTGACGAGCTCTTCACTACCATGATTCGTGACCCCCCGGCCATGCATAAACCCGACAACACAAATAGTGAGTAATTTACTTGTTTTTTTTTCTTATTTCGGTTAATGAATTATGAATTAATGTTGAAGATTCATTTTGCATTTGAGAAAGTTAACTGATTGTTTGAATAAGAATTTTATAAAAATTCAAGTTATAATTACTATATGCATGAATATTTTAATTTTATTCTATCATAATTATTATAGTAGTAAATGGATATTATGTAATCTCTTAACAAACCATGTACAATCTGCAAAACTTTTACTATTTAAAAAACCTTCAATGTAGTGTAGGCATATACATATATGTATACTACATAGATATGCAAGTAAGGAGAAGTAGGAATATATTTGTGAATGTATGTGTATTTATATCGGTCATAACTAATATGCACTGCCTACTAACTACACATAGGTGTCAGGTTGTCTGCAAGCAATTGTTCTTAAGTGAAATATTCTAGTAACGAAAATTAAAAAATATTATTCATTTTTATACTATTTGCGTGGTCAATAAAGAGTTTTATTATTATTGTATGAAACGAAATAACACGAAATATGTAAGCAGCATGATATTTTCGTTTTGCTGACGTAAATTTTTCATAATATTAGGACAAACAGGTCGCGAATAAAACGCGGGAAGGGTTGTGCCATAAACCGGCCGGCAGCGTCCGTCGCGATATTAAAAAGGGGACGAACGATATTGCAATATCACATTTATGCGAAATGTCCGACACCCAGATCATATTGATAAAAATAAGCGATTTTTTATTGTGCCCCACAATATTCTCCAAGGAGCACGGTTTTCTATTCTGATTGTAGTTTTAATCTCGTGATCTGGTGTGATTTTTCTGACTTGTTTTACGACTCTAGTTGACTGACGTTGACGTACATGTAGGTAAGTACTTTATTTTTAACCGACAGGCGATTAATGGAGGGTAATGTTTATGAACTGTCTGTCTATACCTTTGGCTTAATGTACAATCTAAGACGACTTGATGGTTTTGGATAAACTGAATTCCAATTCTCTTTTCTAATTGTGTGATTACTGGCTACATTGCAATAGATTAAAATATAAATGAGAACCATGGATTATCAATTCTCAATGGCAACATTAAACTACTTTTAATATTATATTATCTATTATTATTTGGTTGTTCATATATTTTTTTATGTTATATTTTAATAAATGTACTGATTTTACACCACTTATAACTTCTGTTTTATATACTTCATCAGAAAACACATCGATGGCTCTTAAGTATAACTCTTTCGTTTTTCATGATTACATATATCATGAAATCTGCATTATATTTTATTTTGTTACGTTTATTAGGGCATGAGGCGTATTGGAAAATAGAATATCCTTCATTACGAACTATATTAAAAATAACGAAAAATACGTTAGAGAAACTTGTAATTATTCCTCCAGTCTCATCATACTTTTATCTTGAGAATTAAATAACTATGGGAATTATGCGTAATACATTCTGGACACTAGAATATATTTATATTCATTTTTAACAGTCGGTCAGACTGACGTCTAGTTATTAGTATAAATAAATACACAGTATAGCTGTATACTACTTACTATTTATAGTTTAGTGAACATTAAAATTGTTACATGGACTAAGTATCTTTATAGAGATTACAATCCTATACGGTAGAGCAACATAAATCGACCTACTGCATTTACGCGATAACATTTATCCATGAGAAGCATTTCAATTTCACTAGAAATAACGCAACAAATTCACATGAGCATCGAATGCAGTATGGGCAATGGCGGAAAATTGCGAGTAGGGCAGCGTGCGGTGGCGACGGCGGTTGTGGCACGACGCTGTAGCGGCGGCAACGCGACGGCGGCGGGCGGCGCAGCGTGGCGTAGCGTAGCGAGTGAGCCGCCGCCCGGCGCCCGCGGCTCTGGGCGGCCCTGATAAAATTTATGGCCACTTCCCCTTTAAAACAATATTGAGGGCTCAGTTGGGATTTATGTCTCGCCGCTGCTGCAGCGACTCAATTTATTCTTCAATTTTTCATACAATAACTCACACACGTATTACGAGTGATGGATGAAAAGGACTAACTTTCGGGCTTTAATAAGAGCCTCCAGATGCGAATCTCCAAATTGGCTGAAGTTTATTGCCCACTTATGTCAGGCTTAAGTTTCGCCGGGAGCCTTTCTCTGAGAAAATAATTTATGACGTAGATTGTCTCGACTTTGTACACGTTTGATTGTCGTTTGGGGATACAATGTATCATGGATGTAGGAGATGTCACATAACAATGATAGTGGGTAGGACTATAGCAGACTTATATAAAAAATAATTAAGTGGTTTATTTCAGACAGTCAACCAAGCATCAGCTCACAACTTTATTTACTATATTTGTCATCATATTAATACGTTAGAAATATTCTTTATTCCACTATAAAGTGCAACGATATAATTATGAGTAATATGAGCAAAGATGTACATGTAATATATGTAATAGATGTTGATTTTTTTTTCATTCATAATTACTGATTTAAACTGCCGTAGTATGAGCTGTTCTACTTTGCAAGTTTATAAATACATTGAAATAACGACAGTAAACTGTTACTGTTGTAGGAAAGATTACGCTTACCAATTTTAAAATCCATTAGAATGTGAAACGTTATCGATAAATATGAAGCGTGAAAGCACAACACTAGTAGCAGTCTCGATCGTAAATGGGTATTGGACGGGTGGGCCGAGAGCCGAATACAAACAAGCAATACTCTGATTAAAATATAAGAAACATACTCCAATCTTCAACGCGCTAAGGCCCTCACTACCTACACAATATTTTTCGTATCAGATGATAAATTACAATCCGCCACAGTTTAAATAACCACATTAAGCTATTTTCCTTGTAATGATGTAGGAACACAAAATTACGGAATATAGATATTTTCAAAGTAATCCTTTGTTTGTATTGAACACGAGTTTATTTATGAGTTTACTTTCCCATATAGAGCCATGAGCAATAATGTTTAAACACGTATGTGACTAAGTAAGTCTCAATAACAATTTATTGGTAACTGCAGCGATTGCATCCCATCCATGCAGGATTACAGTCATATAGTATTGTATGTTAATCAGTTAGATAATAAAACGAATCTTAAAAGCGACCAAACATATGTTGAGTTAATCCATTACAAAGAAACATAAATAAAACACTTTGTATCTATAATTTTAGTATAGATAGATATTTAAATAAGTATGAATTAAAAAAAATACACTACACGAAATTCTTTATGTTATGCTCGAAAATAGCTGTACCATATTGAGGTGCTATTCCTCTCTTATAACGAGATCTTTACTTTTCTAGAAGTTATTCAATTTAAAATTGTTACCAACATTTCATACACATTTTTGCTCCACTACATTCACGAACAATGTTATTCGTTAGTTTTGCATTGCATAATTTTTGCACACCATCATTAAATGTCTGTGTTGAACAGAATGCACAACATACATGTTTCTTTTTTGTTTTCATTTATGCATATAGGAAGCAGCAGCCCACCATTTAACGAGAATCATATAGTGATTATAAATGTGTGAGCAGTTGATCAAACGAGTGTTTACTGTGCATTGAAAAAGATATTATAATTTTTGGCTTACTCGTCGTCAGTTTATTTACATTTCCAGTTGTATAAAAATATATTACACAACGAAAATTTATTTACTTAATTCAGAAGTAATAAGTATACTTGTAATTTAGGCAATCGTGGTTAAAATGTCATCTATTAATCGAAATTATAACCAACGAAAACTCTTTCTTTGAAATCGTTTACCGCTGCTATTAGGCTTAATTCAAAAATTAATTTAAACTTTCTGAAGGTTGAGTTGGGAAGCGAGCACCGGCGTAAAGGCAATATCAATTTCATAATTTTAATTAAAAAAAACTAACTTCTCTGATGACAAAGTCTCAGTACTTTTTTAATAACAGAAATGTTATCAATGCGTGTGTGCGTGCGGCCCGATGACGTACTTGTACTAGAATTGGTGAAATGAAAATTCAGTATGACCCAATTTTGATCAAATTTACTTCACTATTTATTCCATTTTAAATGAATATTGTTGTAATATTTATGTAGGTAAAAATTAAAGTATTTATAACATACTGACAGTGGTAGGATATTAGGATTGATACACATACTACACTTTGCAACATATCAAAAAGAAAAAGTTCAACTAAATTTTTTTTGAGTTTTTATAATTATTTTACAATCAAAATAAACTACTGTGTTGATGCCATCATAATTTTATATTAATTATGTTATTTATTTGAAATATTTTTTCAGGATTTGTATTAGGTATATTCCATAACAGGTTTAGAATTGACAATACGAAATACCTTTATGTCAGTGTGATGAATAGCCCGTAACTAGCTGCAATTATCATAGTTTAGTATGTCGCAATGTGAAACACGATAAGTATGGTTTGCAGCAAAATATGCAGGTAATGTAACGCAGGCAATTCAGGGCAAACATCCTACTTGTTAACTTTTTACATTCGGGTCAGTATTAATGCAAAACCCGCATTTGGTTAAATCTAATTATGCCCGCATAATGGATATAGCAACAACGCAATCAACTCCATTGTTTAATGAGTGACCGACGACTAAAACTAAATTAATTATATTATGAACATTTAAAGTGGCTGCAACCGCAATCATTACACACATCAATCAGTTCACCACTTTAGATTGCTGCTAATTGTTTATGTTCCTTTCACTCTTTTTGCGAGAACTAGTAGGAACCCAAGAGGCAGGAGTGGTGTGATCATAATATGCTACCAGGAAGGTCAGTTTAATTTGGTTTAGTAGCTAAATTATATGAGAAAACAATCTGAGAGAATACTTGTGGAGTCCATTGGAATGTTGAGTGATTTTAGAACGAGAAGTTATGCTTCAGTATTAATTAATCAAGTTTTCTCCTTGCATAATATCGTGAAGAAGCTTCAGGCTATTGATCAGGAAGGTTTTCTATAATTTAAAGGCTTTGGA